GAAGTAGGACCAGAACCAAGCTGACAAAGACCTTTGCATAGGTAGAAACGTTGCTTTGTTGCATTTTTTTTTTTGATCCTATAACTCTGCTTTATCTCTGAACCCTGCAAGTTCCTGAAGTCCTTATTTGATATATCTTAAGAGACGTAGTCAAAAAAAGCATGTGAGTGCATGTGGTTTACTATTCATTTAATGTTGTCTTTTCATTGGCTTTTTTATAACCTGTCTGACTTGTTTTTCAAGCTTCCATGAATAATTATTTTGAAATATAAAGCAGTATCCTATACCGCAGTACCATATAAATAGTTAGGCAAAACATAAACATTATTAATGACACTACCCCACCTCCTATGTTCGTTAGCAGGAACATACACCAGACAAGAGGTCACCAATTGAGACTGAGAAAGGCATTTTCGCAGATGAAAGGGTTCTTTTCAGTGAAAACAATAACAATGTGAAATTCTCTGCCTAAAGAGGTTGTGTTATCAGGTTGTATGGATAATTTAAAAAAAGGGATGGGTGTTTTCTTTACAAAAACAATATTCAAGGATATAATTAATTTGTATGTGAACAGGTTGTTGAGCCTAGTAGCAATCTGATTGCCTTTATGGAGTCAAAAATTATATTTTCCCCTTTTTGTGACATAATTGGAAATCTCTGCTATTGAAATGTTTTGCCTTCTTTTGGATAAACAGGGTAAAAAAAATGTGTTTTAAAGGTTCTGCAGTTCAGAAAAAAACAGAAAGAAACAGGGATACAAATCTTCCCTCTGCCCCCCTAACTTGCCTTATTTTAGTGTCGAAAGTCCCTCGGCGCTGGTTCCATCTCCACCTTCTCTGACGTCATTGCAAGGTAAAACATAATGTGCATGCACAGCGAGTGCCATGCGTGTATTAGATCTTCCCCATAGGAAAACAGGAAATCAGTGCTTTCAAATGGGGTGTTGCAAGGCATTGGATGTCCTCATGCAAGGCTGGAGGACATCCAGTGTCATTTCACTGAGTTACATTCCATGAAATAGCACAAAGTGCCTCTAGTGGCTGTCTTAACCCTGCATGTTTTCAGCTTCAGTGTTAAGGGGACAAGGAGAGTGCACCCAGACCATTTCCATGAGATAAAGTGGTTTAGGAACCTATATTGTCCCTTTACATGAAATGAATTTAATGCATTTGAAAGAAGTTATAAATATACAGATAATTTTCCAGGAGGTGACACATACTGATTGCCTCAAAGTATTCGCTTATAATATGGAAAAAGGAAATAACGAAAGACTAGTGGTGTGCAGCCACAGATTTGTTAAAGCAGAACTGTCACTTCTCGGGAAATTACATCATTAAATACAATATTGAAAATCATCCATATCTTTTATTTATAATGCATATTAAAGGAACACTTCAATTAAAAGATCAAATCTTTTTTTTAAGGGACTCTAAGCACCAGAACAGGTTTAGCTAAACCCCTTCACTATCAAGTGGATTGCAAAAAAAAAACACTGTTGTAAATAATCACATTTCTGCATATGTATCATGAACTTTTTCCCGCTCGCACATACACATTATCTGCGTCTGTGTGACTATGTAGCACTGCGTCTCTGTATCTGTGGGAGCTGCTTGTAGTGTGTTGTGTGTATGAGGGGCTGAATCTGGTCATGATATGTGTGTTGTGTTTATGGCGAGCTTTGTTGTGGTATTTGAGTGGTGGCTGTGTTTATGAGTGTTTTTTTGTATATGAGGAAGATCTCTGTGTGGGTGCCTGTGAAAGGATGACAGTGTGTATGTAAGGGAAACTGTGGGGGAGGTGAGTGTGAAAGAGTGTGTGTGGGGGGCATGGGCATCCGCAGGAATTTTTCCAGGGGGGCATAATTGTAATAATTTTTTGCAGGTCTAGACTGGGAATACAAAGCAGCCCTGGGAAAAAAAATGTATGCCAGTCCCATAAGTCATTGTGCCATGTAGTGTGTGTGTATATATGTGTGTACACACATATGCACACACATATATACATATATATGTGTGTGTGTATGTAGGTATGTATGTGCGTATATATATATATTTATATATATATATATATTTATATATATACACACCGTATATACCGTATATACTCGAGTATAAGTCGACCCGAATATAAGTCGAGGCCCCTAATTTTACCCCAAAACTGGGAAAACTTATTGACTCGAGTATAAGACTAGGGTGGGAAATGCAGCAGCTACTGGTAAAGTTCTAAATAAAATTAGATCCCAATAAAATTATATTAATTGCATATTTATTCAGTGTGTGTATATAATGAATGCAGAGTGTTTGTGTAGTGTGTGTATATAATTAATGCAGTGTGTGTATATAATGCAGTGTGTGTGCATGAATGCAGTGTGTGTATATAATGCAGGGTGTGTGTATATAATGAATGCAGAGTGTGTGTTTGTGTAGTGTGTGTGTATATAATGCAGTGTGTGTGTATGAATGCAGTGTGTGTGTATGTGATGCAGAGTGTGTAACCTTGGTGGGGGTGGGCATTCTTATTATTTTTTTTTATTATTATTTTAATATTATTATTATTTTTTTTTAAATATTATTAACATTTTTATTTTATTATGACATAACATTTTTATTTTATTTTAATATTATTTAAATTTGTATTTATATTTTTTTTGTCCCCTCTTCCTGCTTGTTAGCTGGCCAGGGAGGGGGGCTCTCATTCCCTGGTGGTCCAGTGGATGGACTGTGTAGGAGGGGGGCCGGCAGGAAGCTGTAACTTACCTTTCCTGCAGCTCCTGTCAGCTCCCTTCTCTCTCTTCCGTGCCGGTCAGCTCCCTTCTCCTCCACTGTAAGTCTCACGGTAACCTGTGGCAACACTCTGACCCCGTGGCTCTTGCAAGACTTACAGGAGCTGCAGGAAAGGTAAGAGGGAGAACTGGAGCATTGATCCAGCAGCGCTGTACATGAGGTCCTGGTCTGTATTATGGCAATGTAAGTTGCCATAATACAGACCTTGACTCGAGTATAAGACGAGTGGGGTTTTTTTCAGCACAAAAAATGTGCTGAAAAACTCGACTTATACTCGAGAATATACGGTATATAGATGTAAAAAACACATAAAATTCGTATCTTGTAATATCTTTTTTATTGGACTAAGAATTTTTTAATGACAAGCTTTCGGGAGAACCTCCCTTTCTCAAGTCTAAAGCATTTCTGAGCAAGACGACACATAGAATTCAAATTTGAGTTGTGATACAGGGTGTTAAAGCAGATAAGACACAGTTTTGATAGAGTGCAGATAAGACACAGTTTTGATAGAGTGCAGATAAGACACAGGTTTGATAGAACATAGACACCATTCTTGCAGAGAGTCATAAATATCTTGTGTCGAGATCACAGAGTGAGCAAAAAAAGAGAGAGAAAAAAAACAAAAGCAAACAGTGCAGAAGATGGTGCTAGAAGTAAAATAATAATAATAATAATAATAATAATAATCACTTATATAAAGAATGTATGAATTTCCATCCAAGATTCACAGGATATGCATGACGGCCTATATCCAACATACACAGACAAACGCACACACACACACTCATGTACATATACACAAGTAGTGTATCTATACAAGTATACACAAGTACATACACATTATACACAAGTACATACAATATACATATAAATATAACCAAACGCCTAAATATATGAACAAGCACACCTACACATACATCCACATACAAGCATCAATACATGTACCCAGGGGCGTACTTGGAGCATTTGGCACCCGGGGCGGATCCTTTATTTGTTTGCAAGTGTTATAATTATGTATACGTGATTCTGGGTTATGGGAACATACCTTGGAATTCCTGTAGTGAAGGAGTTTATTAAGTAGTTTTGGTATTTAGATTTTGCACCTGAAATTTTACTCTCAAATCTTTGTCATTTAAGTGTTAAACCACTTTTGTTTCTGTTTATGGAGTCCTTACCACACCTTACCTTGCTGTGACTCATACAGCATACATGAAAAAAAAAACTGTTTCATTTTCAATCAGATCCCATGACAGTGTGTTTCTGGAGAGATCATTTAGTCCTTAGATTACTTTGCCTATCAAATTCAGAATTGAAAGGACTGCAGTCAATTAAATTCACCATTATACTAGCACCAGGAGGAAATACTACTCACTACAACTCAGACCCTCCTCCTGTGAAGCCATTTTTACTAATGGCTTGTCCAATGTCCAATCTGATGTTTATCTGGGCTGCGTAACAAGTTAATGGAACTTTATAAAGATGGAAAAGGATATAAACAGATATCCAAAGACATGAAAATGCCAGTCAGTACTGTTCAATCACATAGACCAAGAAAGATTTCAGCCACAACTGCCAGCCAGATGAATTGTTCGGGATACAAAGAAAAACCCACAGGTAACCTCAGAAGAAATACAGATTAGCCTGGAAAAAGACATTGTGGTTGTTTCAAGGAGCACAATACAATGATACATAAAACAAAAATGAGCTGCATGGTCGAGTTGCCAAAAAGAGGCATTTACTGCACCAATGTCACAATAAAACTGGTTACACTATGCCAAACAACACCTTGACACACCTCACAGCTTCTGGCACACTGTAATATGGAGTGACGAGACCAAAATAGTACCTTTATAGTCACAACCATAAGCACTGTGTTTGGAGAGGGGTCAACAAGGCCTATAGTGAAAAGAATACCATCCCCACTGTGAAGCATGGTGGTGGCTCACTGATGATTTGGGGGGTGTGAGTTGTAAAGGCACGGGGAATCTTGTGAAAATTGATGGCAAGATGAATAAAGCATGTTATCAGAAAATACTGGCAGTTAATTTGCATTCTTCAGCACAAAGGCTGCACACGGGATGCTCCTGGATTTTTCAGCATGACATTGACCCTAAGCACAAGGCCAAGTTGATCCTCCAGTGGTTACAGCAGAAAAATGAAAAGCTTCTGGAGTGGCCATCACAGTCTCCTGACCTTAATATCATCAAGCTACTCTGGGGAGATATCAAACATGCGGTTCTTGCAAGACGACCAAAGACATTGCATGACCTGGAGGCATTTTGCCAAGACGGATGGGCAGCTGTATCACCTGTAAGAATTAGGGGCCACATAGACAACTATTACAAAAGACTAAGGGTATGCAGACCTTTGAACAAGGGTAATTTCATTTTTTTCTTTGTTGCCATGTTTATTTTTTATGATTGTGCCATTCTGTTCTAAACTACAGTTGAATATGAATCCCATAAGAAATAAAAGAAATGTGATTTGCCTGCTCACTCATGTTTGCTTTAAAAATTGCACATATATTACCAATTCTCCAAGGGTATGCAAACTTTTGAGCACAACTGTATTTGCTGCTACTGTGTAGGAGATAATTCCTATGTCCCAACATTGGGAGGTATAAGACTGGAATGGTCGAGCAGGCCTTGAGGGAGGTGTTGCCAGTGACACGACTTGTGCCATTGATGATGCCCATAATGGGTGGACCTACCTGGAAAATAGGTGGGCCTGAAAGGGCCTGTCTGTCTACCTATGTCCTGTGCTCTCTGCAGGGTCCTTGTGTCTGTCACAACGTGAGTACATCTAATGGTGTACTTGCACAGTGCTGCCTATGTAAAGCCCTTGGTGTCCCCAGATGCAAGACACTAGGGAACAAAATCAGTATGGTGGGACGGAATCAGGACAGTTGGGGGTGCCTGCAGTGGGGTACACACAATCCATGGGCCCCCCCAACAGACACACACACAGACACATACATACAGACACACATACAAACACACAGAGACATATACATACACACATACATACAGACTGTGATGAAAGCAACTTCGCCACTGTTTTTTGGAGAGGATTACTGTGTGATTATGGTCCCTGTGACTTATTTGGTTCTGGGAAATTTTTTCTGCCTTCTGGGACATTTAATAATACCACTTCGAACTGTCAAAGTGATTTGAAGTGGTACTTCGAACCGTCAAACAGCCGAAGTACCAGACCACACATATTGGAAGTGTGCTGCTTGTTAACCACCCAGAAGCTGTAGTTAACCGCACCTTAATTGACAAACGGCTGGGTGGTCGCCGATCGTGTAGCCAAACATGTGGCGGCGGCCATCTTGTTTAGTCGAACGCGGCCAGCGGTGTTTTGTCATCGAGTGCAATGGAACTTAAATCGGACACTCAACAGCACGAACACCGCTAGAACTTCCACCTCCAGCTAACTTTGACTAAATCCATATGAACAGAGCGCCGTTCAGTAAAAGCAATCTACCGAACACACTTTGACATTGACTTAGTGCACGAACAGTCCCGTGCGAACATTCGAAGTACATTTTAATAATAGGAAATAGACCGACCGCACAGCCTAATTCTCTGGAACTATTTTGGGCATGAAAACAAGCGTGCGGTCGGTCAAAATAGACTTCCAGGAGTTTCCTGAACCCCTGCACTGATATAGGTGATTTTTGGATATGTTGCCCACCACCCAGATCAGGGCTATCAGGGGATATAAGATTTATGAAGATATGTGGTGTTTTGGGGTGTTTTCCAGACTTTGTAAAAATGTATGTTTTCTGCTTAGAGTTAATTGAGTTAGCCCATTGTCTTCGTTAATTTTATCACAGGCAGAGGGGAGGGATTGTGTACACTGTATGGGAGTGTCTGCATGTAAGACTCAACTTGCAGCCTCATCTCGTGTTGTAGGGAACTGCTATACTCTGTATACTCCCCTGGATTCTAATCACTAGCTCTAAGAGCTGTTCCTTATTCGCTCTCTGAAGGAAGAGAGGTTTACCCCCCAATGGAGCCTGGAGCCTTGTCGTAGGTCCAGGGTGGGTAGGAGTCGGAGAGACCCCAACCAAGCTGCGGCGGTCCGTGGGGTCTGCAGTGCTTATGGTGTCTGATGCGGTGCTGATGGTCCTTGGTAAGCACTAGGAGCAACAATTGAAGGAGGGTCCGTCACACAGACACATACATACATAGAGACACATACAGACAGACAGACATATACATACAGACAGACACATACAGTGCCTTGCAAAAGTATTCGCCCCCCTTGGCATTTTTAATGTTTTGTTGCCTCACAACTTGGAATTAACATGGATTGTTTGAGGATTTGCATAATTTAATTTACAGAACATGCCCACAACTTTGAAGATTTTTAATTTTTTTTATTGTGAAGCAAACAACAAATAGGACAAAATAACAGAAAAAGTAAATGTGCATAACTATTCACCCCCCTAAAGACAATACTTTGTAGAGCCACCTTTTTCGGCAATCACAGCTCCAAGTTGCTTTGGATAAGTCTCTATGAGCTTGCCACATCTTACCACTGGGATTTTTGCCCATTCCTCCTTGCAAAACTGCTCCAGCTCCTTCAAGTTGGATGGTTTGCGCTTGTGAAAAGTAAACTTTAAAGGGACACTATAGTCACCAGAACAACTACAGCTTATTGTATTTGTTCTGGGGAGTAGAATCATTACCTTCAGGCTTTTTGCTGTAAACACTGTCTTTTCAGAGAAAATGCAGTGTTTACATTACAGCCTAGTGATAAGTTCACTGGCCACTCCTCAGATGGTTGTTAGAGATCCTTCCTGGGTCATGGCTGCCTAAAATGCATCCAAACATTCAGTGTCTCCTCCCTCTGCATGCAGACATTGAACTTTCCTCATAGAGATTGGCCAGGGCTGTGTTTGAATTGTGCTCGCTCTGCCCCTGTTCTGCCTCTTTGTCAGTCTCAGCCAATCCTATGGGGAGGCATTGTGATTGGATCAGGCTACCACTTCTGATGATGTCAGCAGACTGTTTGTTTTTCTGAGTCTTACAGCATGCAGAGTTACAGCTTCAGGCTTGAATACAGTAAGATATTTACTATATTTATGGAGGCATGAGAGGGCCAGGGGGGCTAGATGGTGGTGTTAACACTATAGGGTCAGGAATACATGTTTCTGTTCCTGACCCTATAGTGATCCTTTAAGTCTGACCACAGATTTTCTATTGGATTGAGGTCTGGGCTTTGACTAGGCCATTCCAACACATTTACAAGTTTCCCCTAAAACCACTCAAGTGTTGCTTTAGCAGTGTGTTTGGGGTCATTGTCCTGCTGGAAGGTGAACCTCCATCCTAGCCTCAAATCACGCATAGAGTGGTACAGGTTTTGCTCAAGAATATGCCTGTATTTTGCACCATCCATCTTTCCCTCAACTCTGACCAGTTTCCCAGTCCTGGCTGCTGAAAAACATACCCACAGCATGATGCTGCCACCACCATGTTTCACTGTGGGGATGCTGTTCTTTGGGTGATGTGATGTGTTAGGTTTGTGCCAGACATAGCGTTTTCTTTGATGGCCAAAAAGTTACATTTTAGTCTCATCAGACCACAGCACCTTCCTCCGTACATTTTGGGAGTCTCTCACATCATGCCTTTTCGCAAACTCAAAACGTACCATTTTGTTTTTTGCTGAAAGTAATGGCTTTCTTCTGGCCATTCTGCCAAAAAGCCCAGCTCTGTGGAGCTTACGGCTTGTCGTCCTATGTACAGATACTCCAGTCTCTGCTGTGGAACTCTGCAGCACCTCCAGGGTTACCTTAGGTCTCTGTGCTGCCTCTCTGATTAATGCCCTCCTTGCCCGGTCCATGAGTTTTGGTGGGCAGCCGTCTCTTGGCAGGTTTGCTGTTGTGCCATGTTCTTTCCATTTGGTTATGATAGATTTGATGGTGCTCCTGGGGATCATCAAAGATTTGGATATTTTTTTATAACCTAACCCTGACTTGTACTTCTCAACAACATTGTCCCTTACTTGTTTGGAGAGTTCCTTGGTCTTCATGGCACTGTTTGGTTAGTGGTGCCTCTTGCTTAGTTGTTGCAGCCTCTGGGGCCTTTCAAAAAAGGTGTGTATATGTAATGACAGATCATGTGACACTTAGATTGCACATCATTTCATCATCATTTCACTAATTATGTGACTTCTGAAGGTAATTGGTTGCACCAGAACTTTTTATGGGCTTCATAACAAAGAGGGTGAATACATATGCACATGCCAATTTTCTGCTTTCTATTTCTAAAAAATTGTTTTATGTATATATTTTTCTCATTTCACTTCACCAACTTAGACTATTGTGTTCTGATCCATCACATAAAATTCAGATTAATAAAACATTGAACTAAAGGCTGTAATGTAACAAAATAGGTAAAAAGTCAAGGGGAGTGAATACTTTTGCAAGGCACTGTACTCACAGACACATATACATACACACAGACAGACATACACACACACGACACACATACAAAGACACATACATACAGTCACACACACATACATACAGACACATATATACATACAGACAGACACACACAGACACATACACACATACATACAGACACACAAACACATACATACAAACAAAAACACACATATACAAAATGTTTAAGTCACCCTCCTGTTTCCTACCTTTCAGGTGCAGGAGGGTGACTTTCCAGTGGTGGCTCAGGCTGGTGGGAGTCAGAGTTCCCACTCTGACTCTCTCTCCTTCCTCCCGTGCGGGCTCTCGCTGATAGCTGGGAGGAGTTACGGGCAGTCACTTCCTCCCAGAATAAAAAAGGTGAACAGCGCTAACAATAGGGAAGGTACATACGTAATTGGAATACTGGCCAGCGATATAGCTTAAGAGAAAAAAGAATACAATAATAGTGCAATATGTAATAACAATAGAATGGACAATAATGGAATGTTAAGTACACACTCACACTTTGGAGAGCTATATTAGCTCGATTTCAAGGGCTTGGACGGAATAATCCCCGTCTAAGGATTTCTTGATACGAAGTGTCCCTGGTAAGCTTATAGATGCAGGCGTTTGTAATATGGAAAACAAATAAAATACACCATATGGTACAGTATGTAGGTATAAATTGGAAGCAAAAGAGATTAACCTACTTACATATACTAGAGCAAGGACCTGCTCTAGTGTTGAAAGCTTCAGGTGGAACAATCCCCACCTAGGGATATAATGGACCCAGATGTAGCAGCACAAAAATAATACTGGATAGGAAGTAGGACAAAGAAATGACTGGATATATATAAAATATATATATATATATATATATATATAAATATATATATATATACTTTATTCCAACAATATATAAAAAGTGAAAGTATAAACTATAAAAACCAGTCAGGATAAAAAAGTCTGTGTTCTTCCTAACTTGACGCGTTTCGCCGAGGCTTTATCAAAAGTGAATGCTTGCTGTACGGGGTCCTTGGAGTTATATATCATCTGTGAGCATTCGTATGCTTCTCCGGTTCGGTGGTTGTGGTGTCTGCTGCAGTGCTTGGAGTCCTCAGGAAGCACTAGGAGCATCCTACAACGGAGGTACCCATTCGGGGTGCCAGGTGATCCGTTACAAAGATAATGATGAATAAATTTATAAAAAAATAGATATAAAAAGGAAAAAAGAATTCTAAAAAATAATACTATAGGTTCCAAGTGTTTGCTGAAAGTGGCAGTACGATCCCTCTAGCCCTGGGATAAATCAAGAGAGCTGGGCCTGAGAGCCGCAAGTCCCTTTGAAAAAGCAATAGCAATCACTGTCTGTGAGCACAGCTGCAGAAGAATAGGCAGAGGGTCCTTGCTCTAGTATATGTAAGTAGGTTAATCTCTTTTGCTTCCAATTTATACCTACATACTGTACCATATGGTGTATTTTATTTGTTTTCCATATTACGAACGCCTGCATCTATAAGCTTACCAGGGACACTTCGTATCAAGAAATCCTTAGAAGGGGATTATTCCGTCCAAGCCCTTGAAATCGAGCTAATATAGCTCTCCAAAGTGTGAGTGTGTACTTAACATTCCATTATTGTCCATTCTATTGTTATTACATATTGCACTATTATTGTATTCTTTTTTCTCTTAAGCTATACCGCTGGCCAGTATTCCAATTACGTATGTACCTTCCCTATTGTTAGCGCTGTTCACCTTTTTTATTCTGTAAAATTTGTTTTGTTTTTTTCACAAGGTTGGGGGAACACCTTGTTGGTGAATTGCAGCGCTTATTCTTGTTTTTTACACTAAGTCACTTCCTCCCAGCTGTGATGTCAGCTGTTAAAGTGCTGCAGCGCTGACCAGGGTCCCCTGAAAATTCATCTTTATTGGGTGGCCCTAACAGCATGGGCCACCCGATGGGCCCCTTGAACATGTGGGCCCGGCGGTTTGCCGAGTGGGCCGGGGCTACAACACATGGCGGCGGGCACCTGGTCGCAGGTACGCACTGTGACCGTGCCCCCTGGAGTGACGGGCCCGGTCGCAGCTGCGACCGCGGTATGTACGCCACTGGGTGCCTGGATTATCCCAGCGCTACAATAATATTCATGGTAATGTGAGTCATACATATATCTTAAAGCAGAGTAACGATTACATTTACACTCATCACTGTACGCATGCAGACATCTTAGAGTTTCACAGCAATAAAACTCACAGTAATGAGCTGTGTGCATGAGTGCATCACAGAGCTCCACAGCAATAAAACTCACAGTAATGAGCTGTGTGCATGAGTGTATCATGGGACTCCACAACAATAAAACTCATAGTAATGAGCTGTGTGCATGAGTGCATCACAGAGCTCCACAGCAATAAAACTCACAGTAATGAGCTGTGTGCATGAGTGTATGAAGGGACTCCACAACAATAAAACTCATAGTAATGAGCTGTGTGCATGAGTGTATCACAGAATTCCACAGCAATAATCTCATAGTAATAAGCTATGTGCATGAGTGCATCACAGAGCTCCACATCAATAAAGCTTACTGTAATGAGCTGTGTGCATGAGTGTACCACAGAACTCCACTGCAATAAGACTCACAGTAATGACCTGTCTGTATGAGTGTATCACAGAGCTCCACATCATAAATATTTGTTAATTTAATGCCAGATTGCAGAAATAGCCAATCGTATATAGCTAAGTTACAGCTTAGAGAATTGTTCAAAGTTATTCTACCTGAATATTGCAATTCAGTTTCCGTGTCTCCACAATTTGTTGTTTAATGAATAAGCGCCCAGTAAGCAATGTGCATTGAGTAATATGCACTGTATATTATTGTATCTCAGACCTTTAAAGCAATAAATCTCATAGTAATGTAAATGGTGAATATCAGTGTGTCCCAGAGCTCCTGAGAAATATAAGGTAATGTGGGATTAAACTGTAATGAATAGAATTTATAAATTGATTCATGCAAACACAAGGCTTTGCTCTTCACTTGCTCAATTATATAAATAACAATTAGTTGATCATAAACTTCCTCAAATATTCTTGATAACCCACCCTACACCAACATCTCCAGATATGAACCCTTAAAGGAAAAATTACGCTATTGAAAAAAACATGGCAAATTAACTTGTGTTAATCCATTCTTTCTATTTTATTGTAAATTATATTTTTTTTTTAAATAGCTGGTTACATGACAATCTGGGGCACACTTTGCGACGAGGATAAGAAATAGAAACATTGTTTTCACTTCTACTGACTGTGAGATGCAATGAACAGAGTTTATAACAATGGTTGACAGGGAGCTAAGATGGAGGCGCGGGATAAAGAGTTGTGAATTTTTATTTATTTTATTTTTTACGCCTTACAAATACATAATTATTAATACACGGGATGAGTCAACATAATGTGAAAAATCCTGAGCAGTAATAATTCCCTATTAAAGT